GTTTTGGCCCCAGCTGCTGGCAGGTACTCCAGGCTTGCCTGGGCACAGCAGAGCAGCCCTTGCCAGGGCATCTGAGCACCTTAGAAACAGGTTACAGAGTAAACTCCGTCATTTGTGTGCCTCCCTGCCTGGGGAACGGCTCCGTAACAAAAGACAGCCCTCAGGAGAAGTCCTTTCCAGCGACTGCGAACTGCTGCTTATTATTAGCTCCCAGCCTTCCCAACAGCAAAGACGATGATCAGGGCAGTTCTGCTTCACAGAGTGTGACAAGTGGTTATTGAGGAGGCAGCTCCCCAGCGACTCTGACCCTGCTGCCTTCCACTCTGATTTCCATACTACTGTCATCTTGTTTGGGATGCCTTGATCCCGATTTTCAAGTATCTTTAGTCTCAGTGGCTGTGGCTAGATCTCATCCCACTAAACCAACACAAAACAGCAACCAAATTCCACTGCCTGCAGACATGGCACATTAACTTGGAGGAACCTCAACAAGCCTTTTAAAGATCAATACGGTTCGTAAGAGCCTAAAACACCAACTGAAAGATTTCAACCATTTATTCGCACATTCTGTTCTCACGCACCACACCCAAGGGACAGAGATGGATGGTTAAGGTCTTATTCACCTGAACTCCTGCGTGTCTGTCGGCAAAGGGAACAGCCTGAGCATTTTCCTACCGACCTCCAAGCTGCACTTCAGGATAAGGCATTTCAGCGGAGCAGAAAGCTGCGAGGGCTGTTCCAGGGAAGCCTTGCTGTCCGAGCTGCCCGCTGCGCGGCCCAGAAGCCCGCTTGAGTTGCAGAGAGGGTGCGAGGAGCCAGTATGAAACTAAAATTCTCCGAATTATAAATAGTACAAAAAAGAAACGAATGGCTGGTGCAGCCTGTCCGATGCATCGCGGCGCAGCCCACCGGCCCACGCGCGTCCCCGCCAGCTGAAGAGCAGCCAGGCTCTGCCCGGAGGGCAGTTCCCTTCCGTGAAGGGGCAGCCCTCCCACAGGACGTAATATTCTGCGCAATGCGGCAGGTCTTGAACCACGACATCCAGTCCCTTGAGCGGAGGGAGCGCCGAGGGAACGGAGCACAACTGCCGCCTCCTAAGCAGAGGACTGGGGATGATGCAACACCTGCACTGAGAGTCTTTCAGGAAGGGATCATGCCTTTATTCCGCTTTCTGTCAGCCATGACTCGTCGATTATGGTTAGCTCTTGTGCTTTTGTTTGCTTCCTTCTTCCTTCGTTCCTGCACTGTTTCCCGGTTCTGCCCGTGGCCCTTCACATTCCCAACAACAGCAGAGCTGTCATGCTTGTGCCTGGAGTACACAGAAAAAGGACATCACAACAAGCACACTGCACGCTCGAGAAACAGCTGGGTGTGAGGAGTTCAGCCTCGGCTCACCGCAGCTCTGCAGGGCTCCTGCACTAGCTGAGTACCAGCGTTAGCCACACAACGGCCGTGTCCTTCGCCACGCTGAGTCTGTCAGCTGAAACCAGCTATTAAACTGTCCTGAAATCCCTGTGGGAGCTGATCAAGCTCTGGGAAGCTGTGCTCTCCAAGATCCTATCTGGGAAGCTGTGCTCTCCAAGATCCTATCTGGGAAGCTGTGCTCTCCAAGATCCTATCTGGGAAGCTGTGCTCTCCAAGATCCTATCTGGGAAGCTGTGCTCTCCAAGATCCTATCTTGCACAGGGTTCTGCTGCTTACGATACAGGGATGTGCCTACCCATTCGAAGGGAGAAAACAACCAGCAGTGAAGTAAAAGTTGGGCGAGGAAGTTAACGCCACCGTGGCAGTGACCCTGACGTACAGGCATGCTAAGGAACAGGTACACCCTCAACAATTCCAGGCAGCAGCAAAACACCTGCTCACCGCAGCGCCGCGGTTTCACTCCGCAGAGGGAGATGCTTACTTACCCCTTCCTCGCCAGGAAAGCCAGCCGCCTGGCTTCAGCTCTCTCCCGCAGCACAGCTGGGTCCTGCACAAAATGGTCCTACCATGGGAAGGAAGGAAAGAGGTCAGTGAACTCATCGGCATCGCGCAAAAGGCTACAGCAGGAGGCGATTCTGTC